TGGTCATGACTGACGCGACGAATCAGAACACACTCAGCGCATTTATCGATTTCTTCCGTAAGTTTAAATTTTACGGCGGAACCCTGTGCACACATAAACTGTTTCTGCTACTGTTTTGTGAGCATGTCTCTGAAGATGAATCCGCGACGGATTTCGAAACGTCAGGCAAATAAACATAGCGTCCCAGCAATCGAGTTGTCTTCTACTGCACAGCATACTCCTGACCATTGCCAGATTTTATGGGTGCCATAGGTTATCTTCTTAATGCCATACAGGAATGTATTATAAGCCTGTCATAAAATTTATAAAGCTTGAACAACCCCTGATCGAGCTCAAAATTACTCGGAAGTCGAAAAACTCTATTAAAACCTAAACATCCGAAGACTAAAATAAAAAAAATTACTTTTGCTTATTTTTTCTGCGAAGTATATTTACTTTTATAAGGGTGTCGAAACTCTATAGAAAAAAATCACACTACTTAAATAGTACCGAATAAGGTTTCTTCGGAAGGCCGAAAAGACATTCGTTCAAAGGCCGGCATCCTGGCGTACCTGAAATATCTTAGGATTATGCTTGTATCTACTTAATATTACAATTCAACTTCCTCATCATTCCTACTCTAAAACTTATTTTAAATATTTTGTTACTATCATGTGAACAGGGTCACTGATTGTAGCTCCTAATGTAGATGGACCGAATAATAGGCCGAGACGTCACTGTTTGCCACCTCCATTTATAGAGGTCGGTCAATGTCCAAACCAATGGTTTGTTAGCCAGCCAATAGGAAGCATTCTGAAAAGTACGAGAAACTTAAGTAACAAGTAGGCAGCTAAATCTGCCGATCTATTTTGGATCGAAAACACCCTTTGCCGTGGATTCGACTGTCCAGTAGTTACATGATTATTCAGACTACTGTTAATAAACACCTCCTCCAGTCGGTTTGACTCGAATAAAACGGACACAGCATCTCGAGGGGAGAATTCATTCGCGCAGAGAAAATGGAGCATCTTATGCGATTTGTTTTTTGCCAATCTTGGGGTTCACTCTCGAACCCCGCCAGCAACTGTACAACAGGTAGTAGTTTAGGTAAAAAAAAATTACCGACAAGGACAAAGGAGACTGCAATGGCCATTTCTAGCTCAGTAGTCGTCATCAGTCAGCCAACCCGTGATAACATGTTTGGATATCGTTTTGCACTTATTATTGCAGGAAAAGTGCGATATGCCTACAGCCGGGGAACGCATAACCACGTACACGCTAAAGTAGTGGTCAACATGACAAACAGCTGAAGAGCAGTGGACACGATTGCTGAATGT